TTCAATATTATCAATGCCAATCAACCTTTAAAACGCCTAGTTGCTTTTAATAACTTTATTAAATATTTACAATTCAGTTTTACACGTCCACTGTAGACGCCTTAAACGTTCATTAAATATGTGTTTAGTGACCGAGATGTGAAACTAAAATAATACAATTTTTCTAAGTAGGTTTTTTCATTATATATTTTCTTCCTCTGAAGTTAAAAAAAAAAAAAAAACAATATAGTGTCTCACAATTTGTATAAAAAACATGCATAGTATTTTTCTGAAAATCTGAAACAGTATTATTCCATGTTATATTTTATTATATTAAAATATTTCGGTAAAATCACAATTATAATAATGTTAAGACTTTGGTACTTGTTTGTCATCGTCTAGCCAGAACACCGTATAGAATTTATCTCCCCGCCACTGATGAACTGGCGGGGCAAAAACAAACAAGTACCAAAACTAAAAAATTACAAGACCAAAAATGAGCTTTAAGTTTCGAAGTATTTAAAACTATGCCATATCACGTAAGTTGATTACATAGTTGTCGAGTAATTAATTTATTTAATTCATCTGGGAAGATTCCAATAATTATGTAGTGTCTATATTACTATACATATATAAACTATATGAACCAATAATTCGGTAATGCATTTTCACGTATGATTTATAAGGCGTACTATGATTTTTTGACGGGTTAACATATTACGAATAAACATATATCGTTCATCGATTACTTTAGACATTTTACCTACCATTGAAATATTTAATCGTTTCCCGAAATGATTTTGAAAGATTTTTCATTAAATGGTGTTGGAAATCAAACGTAAATATAACACGTTCTATCAGTAATTTAAACCCATCATGTTCCTATTGTTAAATAACCGAACGAGAGCGAATATACCATTGTTTAAAACTCAATATGTATTTTAGTTACACAGTGTCTAGTCAATGCATAATAATGTAAATTGTTTGTACAGCGTGTGTTTGAGCTTGATTTTAGAATAAAGTTAATTCGGTAAAACACTCGTGTCCGACACCTGTTATCAATTTTTTTTTTCAAATTTATCAATTCATTTTACGATACGAGGAAAATAATAATTATATTCCAATTTTATAAAAGTATTTGATATAATAGCTATATCCGTTCAACTCCAGGGCATAGTAGTTTTAATCAACGTGCTAATTTCTTCCGTATTATGTTAATGTTTAAAATTGATTTATTTGTTTATATCATAATAATTATGTTATAAACAAATAAATTATTATATTCATTATTGGAAGAATTATTCTTCCAATAATGAATATAAATGGTATAACCCGATATGACAGGAAAGGAAGTAGAACTTGTGTGAGTTATTATAGGAGTAGATCGGTGTTGTTGAGATATGATTTGAGTGAGAAAATTAATTGGATTGATTTAGATTTCTTCTTGTTTAAGTTTAAGGTATTCGGAGTTGATAAGGTCTAAGAAAAGATCAGTGAAACAGAGTAGTCTTGAAAGCTAAATAAAATAGCATTTACTCGATTTGTCATAAAGCTTCGGATGTCGATAAACATGACATTTATGATTATTGCAATAATAGTATAATATTGAAAGAAGTGAAATAATCACAATATTGATGAACAGATACTGAAAACTTTTCGACACACGCACAGAATTTATATTTTGGTTTTGTAATTGAGTTGCACTGGAGTAATGGAATCGGCTAAGCCTGTGTGCATACACTGAAGACTTTTCTTTATTTTTAATAATAAAAAAAACTCACTTCAGTTAATATTGAGAGGTCATTTTCAGTATATAAAAACTTATTGGCAGACAACCGTCGATCGGTTGTAAAAATTCTAAAACTTAAAAGAAATACTATTCGTTCAGTGCAATTCAATTCAAATATGTAATTTAATTTTTGATTTTAATTTATTTTTATTTTTTGTAGTGTAAAATAAATAAAATTTCATTTTTTACTCATTTTTTAATAATAATTTGAATTTATTTAATAAGTGATGTATTTTTTGATATTTTTTAGGCATTTTTTTGATTTTCTTGCCCTTATTATTACATATTACAGAGTTCGCTTTGATACGGCTTCAACTAGTACAGTGTAGAACCATCGTTTTATCATCGGTAAAACTATCATCGTGTTGATTAAAAACATTATTTAAACAGGGTTTTACTATTGTTTTTGCTCCTATGGAGTGGCCAGATTATACGGTAGAAATTTGTTTTGTATAATTATTGATAGTAGTATAAAACAATTTTTTAAAAAAAAACCACTTACAAGGGGAATAGGTGAAAATAGTTGGCCGATAGACGATGTAGAAGAAAATGGGTAAAAATATATATTTTTCCAATGACTAGATCAGTATCCATTTGTCTGTGAGGTGCGAGAACATTGATCTTCTATAGATCTTATAAAGTATTTATAAAGACTAAAATACATTTTCTACATTCGATTGATTTGCGTTATGGCTAAGACAGAAGAGTATTTCAATGGCCAATGCTAATATTGACAGTACATCTATTGAAAGTGACGTTGTGTGAAACAGAACTTGTCACTTGTAGACCGTTTTGATAACTACTTTTATTATACAAAAGTAACATAAAGTTTTCAAATAATTTTATGCTCGGGTATTTTGGTGGTGCAAAATTAAATGACTTTTGTTGCGAAAATTCGTATCTCAGATCTAATTTGCTTCGGTGAAAAGTTGAATGAATCTAATTTTTTCTTACAACTCACACATTTACTTTAAGATGTACGCATGTACATGTCTTTTCACATCGAAATATCTACAAATCCGGAATATTTGGATTTCCGAGTAATTATATTAAAGTCAACTAATTAATTTATTATTTGATTATATTTTCTAACCGTCTAAACTTTTATTAAGTACTGCTTATAAATAAATTATTACAATAAATGAACAATTGACATACATGAGTTTTTTTTTTTTTAATAATTCTTTTTAAAGTGTCTTGAGCATTATGGACTTTAAATTACAAAAATGTATGACATCAAAAAATATTTTTTTAATAACAACTTTTAGGTCGGTGAAAATAAGCATTGTGATTTATTAAGTATTCGGGCAAATATTCTGTTTTATTGTCTAATTTCTTGTGAAAAGAAAAATGGTGTGCGAAAATATGGTTAATAATGACACAGGAATATGATATCATTTAACGAGACGGGTGTTCAGGAGATTTGTTTTTATACTTAAAATGTATATGTGGAGCATGTGAAAGAATATAGTAGTTAGAAGGAATATAGTAAAATATTTTTCGATAAATTGCCTTATTTACTTTTTCAAAATGTACACAGCCGATGCCGTATATTTACTTCATTATCATTTTAAAATATTGTAGTAATATATATACCTAAGTATATATTTACCTATATATTATTTTAAATTAAAATGACAATTTGTTTATCTCTTTCAGTTGAAAAAAAAATATGGTTTTTCTAAACTTTTTCTAAATTGTATAGTTAACTTTTAATTTTATCTTATATTAATTTAATGAGAAGTTTGCCGTTGCCTAAGTTTGCGAAAATTTGAACTGGCTTACACCCCAGAATATTTGATTTATTATTATTTATTTAATTATCTATTTATCTATTTTGTTTTTAAAATGTTGGATGAGTGTACTAATTTTTACTTAAAATTTATATTTTTATAATATTTACCTATTTATTTTTAGTTGAAATTTTAATGCAACGATTTTCACATTGTCAAATTTCAAAATTTGTTTTGTTAAATATATTTGTATGATATTTTCAGAGAATTTAAATTTTTTCTATTTACCGATATAATTTTTTTAGATATATTATTAGAGGTTTGTATCAACATTTTTGTGTCTATTTGTATTTTTTTTTTTTAAATTTTTAAAAAGAAATATATGTCCGGGTGACGTGCACAAAAACACGAATTAAATGTTTAGTGGAAGACTCTCACACGTATTTGTTGTTCGTACACTACTACTGCTCATATCTGCCCATGTGTGACAAATTTCTTCATTTAAACACGTCAGTTTTCATCGTTTAAAATCAAAATTCGACAGAAATATTGTATTTTGTCTATACACCTGTTTCACTGTGTATGTGCCGTTTAAGTTACAAATGGTAAGTTATAATAGGTACCAGAATAGTATATTATCAGAGATTATATTGTGGACGCATTGGGCTATAAAAAAAAAATACGATATAATTAGGGGATCGTACTCAGGCGATGCCCATAAAGACTGCTATAAATTCAATAAAAATATTTGATGAATAAATCATTAAAAATATTTTGTTAAGAATTATAATATACTCCACTACTTACTCAATTTTTTTGATCAGTATTTTCCCTCGATGTATTTTCGCATAGATACTATTAATTAGATATTAAAAGGAGAAAAATATTTATCATCGATTATAGTAATCCTATTTTTTCAATTCTTGACCCATTATTGTGATAGTATATAAATAATTATTGCGAATAGTTATGAAACATTATACTGAAAATCGAATATAAAATATATTTTTAAAAATAATTCGTTAGTTTTGGATTTTACTATTTATTATGTACGCATACACATTAACGAGAATGTTTTAGTGTTTTTTAATATACGTTGAAATATTTTTAGAAATATTAAATAATTTTGAATGTTTATTTCAGCCGTCCAGCGATAATACATGTTAATACAACATGGCTAGTTATTTTGCTCGCACAATCAATTGGCACGCCGTGGATGTCCTATAAAATGGAGTTATGTAAATTTAATTTTTATGAACAATTATAGTACAAACATCAATATTTTAACTCTCCGGAGACTACTTAAGTTTATTTTATTTTACCTAAAACATCGCATGAGTAATATAATGCGAGTATAAACCCATCATGATAACCTACTGAATTTAATAAGCTCAATTAAAATCAACCCTCATGAGAGATAAGCATTTTATTTTTTATTTAACCCGATAGCAAAATTTAACATTACAAAATAGAAGTAATCGCTTTGGTACCCAATGAACAGTACGTTGTACGTGGATTACGTAACGCTTGTGTATTGTAGTTTTATAATTTTAAAAATGACCATTCACAAATGGTTGCGAATGTTTTGTGAAAAAACTACTTCACATTGTATGCAATATTTGGTTATGAAGCATAGATCACCCGCAGAAAAGTCAGTTAAGTATTAAACTATAAACTATCATAATCTATAAGCTTCAACAAGATTTATAAATTTATTTTTTGTGCATTCAAAACACATTTGCTAAAAGATAAATATTATGTACAATGTATATACGTATGTAGGATATATGTTAATATAGGTTTAAAAAAATATTAAAAATATACGTTTGAAACGGGAAAAATCTAAAACTAATGAACATGTTGAATACGATTTCTAAGACTAAAATTCATGTAAGCCCTTTTATGAGTGTATATTAAATTTACTTGTGGGGTAAATAAGGATAGTTATCGATTATTTCTTATAAACATTACTATCTGTTAATCCCCCCCGCGAAGCAATAATTAATTGGGAGTATAGCCGTTTCTAAAGTTTATTTTTTATTGATTACAAGCTAAAATGTACGTTTTACAACACGAACACTTTAAAATATTTGAGCGCTGGATTGTTTTTGTTCAAAGTGTTTTGTCAAATAAAGGTCATGATTATTAAAATAACATGGTCGAAATCTGCGTTTACTGAAAACGTTCCGAAAACAGTGAAAAACCGCAAAGGTTTTCACTACTGACCCACGGATACATTAAATCGATTGCTTTAGGAATTAACCATTGGGGTTTTTTTTTTTTAGAAATTATATACATTATTTTGAACAACTTTTTGTGTCTTTTGTAGATTTTATAACCTGTGCATTTACGCAACACGCATTTATATGTCTACCCACGTTGTACGTATATACTGATTTAATGTACAGTTTATGAACTGATATAATGGTTACAAATATATTGTATCTACATTTATGTTAATACACATATTTAAATTTTACTATACATGGATTAAAAAAATAACACTGGTTAAATACCACTTTTTTCAAGACATTATTAGCTAACAGAGCTAACATTATTATCTATGGAATTATTCTTTATGCGTGCCTACAATACCCATTGATTGTAGAATATTTTATATAACTCAAACAAAATTATATTTATGATATTATATAAGGGCTTTACAATTGTTACAACTACTTGGATTATCAAAATCAATTACATTCAATAGCACAGTCGATTTGTGTTATAATTATTATTACACAAATCGACACCACTTTATAGTATAATGTATTGTTGTGTTATCGATGAAAATTAATCAGATTTTATGTTAGATTATTAAATTGTAATAGTCTACATACATTTTAAAAAGTGTATTAATATAATACTAAAAATATAATTAATTATTGGAGAAAACAGTTAAAAATTACATACAATTTCTAAGATATACCTTAAAATGTTGAAAAATTTCCTAAAAAATAAATTATGCATAGGACAATTAAGTATATAAATTCCTTGAAATTTAAATACATTCTTAGCTAAAAAATCATCGCCTTAAAAATATAAAAAAATCCATTAATATACGGATTTATAATTAATTGTCTTATCATATTTTGAAACGTTTACGTTTTAAAGTGAAAAATAACTAGATAGGTAAGAATATATGTAACAATTCGCTTCATTTAGTATACAAATTATTGAAATAATAAAATTAATTTTCATATGGTAAAACAAAATATAACATGTTATTAGTGTTGGATCTAAGGAATTTTTTCATCCTGGCTAATAAATATCCAATGTTCTTACATAATTTACACACGGATGTAACGGATGTTAATATGCTATTAACTTTTTTTATTTTTCATAAGTTTAAGAGCGGCTTCGTACAAACTGCGCCTGAAAAAACTATGCCCACTTCTCCTCTCCTCCTAGATCCGGCACTACATGTTATTATTGATTAATAATACGCACGTATAAATTATATACTATAAAGTATGCCTATAAATTACAATAGTTTTAATGAAAAGGCTAATGAAATTAGTATTAACTGAAATTTAATTTATATTAATTGCATTGACTGTGACATTTGGTGTGTGAATTTAATTAAAATTTAATAACGATATATAGATACTTAATTTTTACCGACCAACTGATGCATTTGTATTTTGATTTATAATAATATAAAATCAAAAAAGGATTAATTTGATTGCAGTTGGTCCATAGGTTTTCAAAATTTTCAGAATGTAAATTTTTACTATCATTCATGTGTGAATGCATACTAATTTTTTTTAGTTTAATTCTTAATGAATATATTAATATTTCAATTGTGGGTTTGTTTTATCCAAAGCATTAGTTAAACATAAAGAGATTTGTTTACATTTCTTACTTAAAAGCTCGATACATTTGATAACATTTATTGACATAAAACATGAAACAATTGGATCGAAAAAGTTGACAGACATAAAAAGTAACGAAAAAAATAACGATTTAATGAGACAGACTGAAATATAAAAATAATGCAGCCCAACGTGTAAAATGTTTAGAGAAAATGCGAAACTACCTGCAAAGGAGACAATGCAGAGATTGTTGATTAAGTGGTTTACTTTAAAATGATTTTCGAATACTATATTATATACTAGGGATCGACAACTGGCGGACCGTGGTCTGGATTCAGACCGCGGAAGGCAATACTCTGGACGCTGTCATCTTTTATTTTCATACTCCTAATATTGTAATTTTTAATACAAATTAATTGTAATAACCAAATAATTATTTTTATTTTTATACTGCTATTTTTAAAATATAAAGATTTGAAAAAGATTTTTTTCACTGGACCTCATAGATTTATTATTTTAATCATTAGGACTCCGATGTAAATTACTTGCTGACCTCTGTGTTATACTATATATATATACATAAGCGAAAACTTTCAAATTCTTTATTTTTTTACAGATTGTTTTGGACACTCGTCTTTCTCTGTATGGCAGGACTTGCGTTCTTCATAATAAATTATGTCATAAAAAACTTTTGGGTTGACAATCCAACTGTGATGTTTAATGACAACACGGAAACTGCGATTCTGGAAATACCTTTTCCGACGATCATGGTATGCTCGACAAATCAAATTCGAAAATGGGTTTGGAACCGTAATAAGAACACCAATAGTTCATACTGGTAAGTCCAACGATTTCATTATTTACAATATTAATAAACGTAAATGAAATAGGAATAAATAAATATATTTGGTTCTGTAAGGTATTAATTATATGTAAAAGGATTCAAGAATATAGCATATGAATATTTGTATCGAACATTTACGTTTTAATCACTCTACGTTGAATCGTACGAAATTAACAATAGACATTTTATCAGTATGTTACTGGAAAAGGGTTGAGTATAGGCAGAGGCGTATTTTCAAATTTCTTGTGTTTGGAGATTAAATTTTTCTAAAAAAAATTAGTGATTTTATAATATTATAAAAATACATATCATTTATGAACTATTTATTTTATTAAATAAATAAAAGCCTAGCCTGGAGTATTATTATTTTTGTAAATTACAACCGTTTTCGAATTAAAAATTCCTCGTCAGCTATATACAAAGCCAATAAAATCACGACTAAAAAATGAATTAAATAGTATTATTAAATAATTATAGTCGATGAATGACAATTTTTACTGTGTAAAATATTATTTATTTATACAAAATTATAATTTAGTTTGATATTTCAACTACTATGTGCATTTGACAAAATCTTGACAGATTCCTGTAGACCGTTGTGTTGCTATTAATGATGGGTGATAATTTTTTTTTGAGTGTCCATATCGTTTCCGATTTTTTCGATATTATATCTCATTGAGTAATACATGATTGCGTACGTTCGTTATTAGCGTTACCTTTTAAGCTACACGATGCTGTACAATTCCAACTGATTTTCAACTACACAATTACGTACGAAGTTATAATCGTTGATGCCAATTTTCATACCGGTATTGGTGTATACCACATGCCTGTATGAGTGAACTTGAAAAAGTTAATAAATACTTTTTTTTATGAATTATTATAGAACTGTTATATTTATTGTTTATGTTTATGTGAATTGTTTATTTCTATTGTTTTTGTTTATGGTTTTTTTTTTTTTTGTTGATATTTTTGATTTTTGATTTTTTGTTGTTGATCTCTAAATTTGTTTACTATTATTAGTGAAATTACTATATTTGACAACGTTGTATACAATTTTATATGTAATCGTGTTTGTTTACTTTTCTTACCCACCTTTTTGTTACCCATTTACAAACATACGCAATCGTGTTTTACCCATCTCATTATCGTAAATCGTACTACAGCAATATCATATTGAATATATCGAAAAAAAAAACATTTTAAATATTACCTAGTAATAAACTTAACGAAAATGTTAAAACTTTGATTTTCTTGATTGCTGAGTAATAGAAAATCCGCCAAATGGTTAATTTGACCTTGAACTTGAACTAAAATGTTGGCATAAAATGTCTATGCTTAATTTTTTTTGCATCAAATTATGTTATTTGAAAAGCCAAATTATGCACATGATGTTTTGAATCTTGATGAGAACAATTTAAGATAATTATGAAAATTAATAGTTAGTTGAATTTTGAATTAATTCAAAAATTTTTTTTGCTTAACTAAATGTATATAAAAAAAAACTAATTACGAATAGACAAATAAATATTATCATAATATAAATTTTATACAAGATTAAAACTATTTTTATTAAAAATAGGTGTTCATATATTTAATGTTTTTAATCTTGATCTTAATCTTCAATAACTGTATCCTAGAAAATAAATTCATAACTATTTCACTATTGTTTTCAATAAAAAATAAAAAAATATGTAGATTTCTTACCAAAGTATGATCAGATGTTCTATTGAATTTATAATGCGAGTTTAAAAAGATAAAATTTTTAACTCAATACACAGATAGTCCACTTTTTTTTATTGAAACTTTATTGCCAGCCTCACTTAATAGACGTTCATATGGGTCTCTAGTAGCAATTAGTGAGATGTATTTTTCACTTACTGAAACTTCTGTGCATAAATTTGAATTTTTTTCTGCCATTTTAGTGGATTTTCGGCACGATGGAATTTTGTATATACAATACAATAACATTTATCATATCTTATAGCTAAGACATATAAATACAATTTTAATTCTGATATTTCGATATATCATACAATATAAAGCAACAATGATATAAAAATCCTGTAACGATATTGACATCGTATCAAATTATTAATATGTTGTTCATCACTATAAGGGGTTCAGTATAGATAATAATATTAGGCTTGCATGTTAGCAGCACATATATGTGTGCAGTAAATGATCATTAAGCAGGTGTCACATCGGTACTTGGCCGAATCACTAAAACAAGTTGCTAAATCGAGTACTAAATTGCGCCTAGTGTGTGTCAAAACATAATATAGTAAAATTGATTATTGTTCATTTTAGTGATGAGCTTTGTAGAAATGTAGCACCAAAGTCAATATATAGGACGACATTATCTGAATTATTGGAGATTCTTTGTTGCTTACAGCAAACAGGGCATGTTCGTCCGATATTTTGTTACCTTTAATTTCTGAGTGACCAGATATCCTCAGGATAATTTTTTTTTTTTTTATCGGGAACAGTGGTGTTGAATTTGGTGAATTTAATTATTGTTATTATTTGTGGTTAGTATTCGTAAACAAGGTGTACGACGCAGTTATTAACTATTGTTATAAAAATATATTCATATTTTTATTTGTTCCGTCTGTTATGTACTGCGTTACGTATCTACGTCCTCGCATGTACCGCGTTTCTCTGGACATCAGTCACTCAGGTTAATTGCTCGTTGGGCTGATGATCAAACTATGTATTATATTACGTTTACTTCTATAACAACCTTTTGAAATATTTCGACCATTTCCGAGACCTTTGTCTATGTTATAGTTTATAGGAATTCTATCTAAAATACCTAATTTTGCTGGTTTAAGTTATTCATCCCATCACGTTTTCATTTTAAATGCTTGATTTTCAAGATTTGATTTAACCTTTTTAGATTTTATATGGAATTCGCAATATTCGGTTGAATTGCGTAGGTATTAGATTTATTTGATTTATTTTAAATAAGAAAAAATTTTTTTTAAAAATATAATAATACTTCAGGTTTATTTACTTATTAATTTACGACTATTAACCATTTAATTATCTTAAAGTTTTACTATTTTATAATTTATTTCGGAGTTACTAAATTTACTGTGTCGTGTACGATAAAATGACCGTTGATTACAATATTGGTACATTTCATAAATGCTTTTTGCATTGCCACACTTATAAAATAGTGTTTAATTTTATTTCAAGTTGACATAATTCCTTTATACGAGGTACTCGGTATTCTATGGATTATCTAGTCATTGTATAAACGTTACATTTCCAGTTTATTTTTGGCATGGGTAAGCTGGATTCAGACACTTTTCCAGTAACGCATAATATACATATAAGCATACATATTCTATACGAATATTTCAAGCACAATGATTGTACATTTCATAATTCGATGAAATATTCATCATTCACTCAGAAAAGTATTATTTATAACAAACATAGCACTCGATGACTTGAATTTTGTAATCTCACCCGAGCGTTAATTGTATAACGCATTAGTACTTCTTGACCGTGTTTAATTTCTGATCATGTATACATTGTAAGCATACATACTCATCATAAATATTTCATTGAGGTAATATTAAAACAAAATCGGTTAAGATTAATTCGTAAAATATAATACGTGCATTTTTGAATACTTATTAACTTTATGAACTTTTTTTTTTAAGGAAACATTTAGAACAGTATCGGTCTTTAATCTGTGGTGCATATAACTATGTTCCTAGCACGGGAAATGTATCATTCGAGTACCTCGATCAGGATTTGATTGAGAGCATTGTGCACGTGAGTTTTAATTTTAGTTTAACATAATGTGTTGTATTTACCCAACACACGTGCACCATAATTAATCCGACGTATAGTTATAATATTGTCTTTGTTCAGCGTTTCGATTGATACAATGATATGGTATATATTTTGAAAATAAAATTGAATTCACCGCGAAACCCACTTAAGTTCGACTTCATCACTTTTTCAGCTTTGCCTTAAATTCAACTAGTACTTTTTCAAAATGCTTTAATTTAAAATATTGAAATGTTTTTGTTTAACATTGAAAGATTTTAAAGTCTAAAATTTTAAACTCTATTTTGATGAACAAATTTGACCGTGAATCAAAATGTGCTTCAAAAACCCTTATTGTATTACTTTACTATATATTAGATATAAGTCGCATTAGTTTAGTACGTCGGAAAAATATCATTGTGTCTAAATTACTGTGTTGTACGGGCCACAATCAGTAAATTACCTTTATTGAAAGATGTTTATTTGATTTCTAAAATTAATCTAGGACTGTGCAGCTAGCTGTTCAGAAATATTTCAAACACATTTGTTATGGCAAAATAATACATTTGAAGGAGTTTGTAATTATGTTCAACCCGTGATGAGCGTGTTGGGAATATGTTATAAAATAAATATGATTCCAGTACAACAGATACTCCACGATGAATATTATCAGAAGTAAAATCATCAAATATTTTTTACGATTTAATTATATAAATATGAATGATGAATAAATTAATGAATTACATTTTCTTGAAAACATTTCAAGATATGTTAGTTCATTATTTGTATGTAACAAGTTAGCTGCTAATTCGATGTTAATTTTTTTTTTAATGATGTGCATTACTATATAAGTATATTATGTAACGATTTGAAATTAGCTAAGGAATATTTTTCAATAATATATGCATTTATGAATAAACAATAGTGTTTAATAAAAATCTATAAATATCATAATAGTTTTCTTTGATCCTTCATAATATACCTAAGATAGAATATCGGTTTTATCATTAATTTTTTTAGCTCTTACCAATAACTCAAATTATTTCCTTGGAATCGTAATCTCACTACTTACACTCTTCTATGTTATATTCTCATAGAAATGTAATTCCTTAATTCTTGAGCATGTTATTGTACTATTTAATTCGTGTTTCATAATATCCTAATGACGAGTTATTTTTTTTCTTCTAGATATTTGAAATTTTTTTCGAAAAGTAATTCGTACATTGATTCCGAAAAGACATTATGGAATTTAGACGATGGGTACTCAAGTTATTCGGATACAGATTTACTCATTGATGTCGTTCCTTCTCGGACTAGCGGTGTCAGTTACTATCATCGTCTCAGATTAAACTTGCATACAAATACAGATGAATTTTTGCGCTGTCCTCAACTTGATCTAAGAGATGGTTATTTTTCAGTATGTATTCAATAGATTTTATGTGATGATATTACAATATGAAATATCGAACTTGTTTCGTTATAAAGAAATAATAATATTTGAAATGTATCAATATTACATTATTTGAATACAATTAAAACGTTTTTCTTTGATTTCAATATATTTTTCTATGATTGAACTTTTTTTTAAAACTGTTTCGTTTACGTTATTATTTGATATCAAATAGTTATTAAAATAAACTGTAGTCTGTAAAATATTTAGATCGCATTACAAATAAAAATATTTAAATTTCAAAAACATTAACGATATCTTGCCCGGATCAAACGTTTGTTATAAATATGGTTTTTGATTGCTCATTTGTTTATGGTTAATAGAGGATTAGAAAAAAAATTGTACAAAAAAATATTGTGATTCGAGTTTATATTGATTGGTTTTCATTAGAACTTAAATAAAATATATTATTTATGACAATTTATTGTAATACGTACAGATAAATAATTTGATGTACACACACACACACACATCTTTGTTGGATTTTTAGATCGCATTATCCAATCCATCTGAGTTTTATTCGACCATAACTTACTTATTGATTGCATCAGACACATATACAAAAGTACAAATCACACCATTGGTAAGAAAGATAAGTCCGGATTTAGTGTTGCGTTCTCCAGAAGTTCGTAAATGTTATATGCACAACGAGAGGAAGCTATCCATATTCAAACTGTACACCGAATCCAACTGTAATAACGAATGTTTGATTAATATGACGATTACAATGTGCAGCTGCGTTACATTCAACATGGCTTGTATGTTTATGTTTAACGTGTTCCTTTTGATTCTTAATACAGTTTTTACTTAATTTTTTTATTTTTTTATATTCAATCAGTTTTAATGACAGCAGACGTGAAAATATGTGGTACTCCGAAGACAGATTGCATCATAAGAGCTATACGTAATATCTATAATGGATTTTAAATATAAACAGCATATATTAAATTAGCAATATTAATCTTACATATTCACGTTTTTTGTCGAAAAAATCATAATATAAATTGCACCGGCCAAAGTTTCGTCCATTGGTTGTATAACTGTCTCCCCGTCAATCTAAATTAGAAAACATATTAGTTTTAGAAAATAAATAGTATATAAAAGGTAAAACAAAAAGAATAATTGAATATAATTCTAAATTTAAGAATATAATTTTCGACATATTCATTTGATGTAAATTTACATTTTTGGTTCAAATCGATATTAAATTAAAAAATTACGATTTCGTAAGTATAAAATTAGTATATTTTGGTAAAGGTATAATTTTCATACATTTTTATCAAGCACAAACTTCGTTTGTAATTTTTTTATTTGATATCGTTATAAATAGTGTTTGCATATTGTGGGACCAAAAAATGAAAAATATTCATACAAATATGTACGAAAAAATTGTAAAATATGCAAAAAAAAATATTAGAAATTCCAAAAAAAAAAAATACTTCTGATGTTGTTAATATATAATAATATATATATATATATAAACATTTTTAACAGAAACTGGTTAGCATTTTGATATTATATTAAACTGAAGATATAATTAAAAAATATATTTTTAAGTATTTTTTAATTTAAATACAAAAGAAATACCTGTTTTTTAATATTCATTAGATTATTATATTGAATCACCAATACTTAATAAAAATTTTAAATTTCAAATGATCAACGATTATTCGATAGAAGATTTTTAAGTCGGAAAAAATATCTTTAAACTTCAGGTTAGAAGTTTAACCCTATACAGATTAAGAAATAAGAAAATTAATTTTTTTTAGTAAGTTATTAAATATGCATAATGTGCATATGAAAATCAATAAAATATGTACTATTTTCCTAAAATTGATCAAATATGCAAAGTATGCATTTTTAATTCTTGATTTTTAAATTCACCTTTGTATAACTTAGATTTCTAGCTTGGTCTGCTATAAATTAAAAGAATATAGAAAAATATGTAACTCCTATAACTTCTGAGGCCTAGTTATAATGATCATACGAATGGTAAAATAAATTAAGCAATAATAATTATTCTTTAATTAGACTATTATTAAGCTAATAACCACTGAGAAATAATGTGTGCAGTAAATATTTTTTTTTGTTTTTACCGGATATAAGAAAAATTGCAGAACTATTAACGTGAAACCAATTACTATTAGATTATCCAACATGCACAACAGTTTAAAAGCGATTTTTGCTTGAATTTTACTAGCTGTAATAGAAAGTCTTTGAAATAACATATCTTGCGTTAATTCGTATGTTTATTGACTTATATTTCCAATTTTATAAGCTAAAATAAATTCGAGATGATCTCATTGGACGGTATAAAAAATATAAAAGAACGTAACCATTATTTAGATTTACATTAAACGGTTATTACTGTGTAGTTAAAATTTCTTAGAATGAAGTTCATGCATTAAAATATTTTATACATGAGTTAAATAGAAATTTAAATAATCATATGTGTTTCCATATAGAAATAACGAACACGGAAAAAATGCAAATGAGGTGCAACTGTTTGCCTACATGTTCTGATATCGATTATGAAATATTACAAACATCTAATTTTGAAAGTTGGGATTATTTAAAAACAACTCAATTGGTCAAGAACAAGTAAATGATTAAATAAAGCAAATTTTAATGTGTGCTTGTGCTTATGAATTATAATAAACTAAATAAACTAAATAAAATATAATAAACTAATTACTCGTATAATAAACTACAATGGTTGGATTTAGAAGATACTCCGAGAGGATTTCTTAAATGGCATAAAATTAATTATTTTACTCTTAATACTTTTTTAATAGCAATATTACAGATTTGTATCATTGTATTTTATTTTCAATGATTGTTTAACTTTACCTATATATACAAAAACAATCACAAACTAAATTATTATACTTATTATATCTATAAAACCGTAAGCTAAATTATTTAAAATGTAAATAATATATCAATTTTACTTATGCTTAATTGATAAAAAACGGGACCGTTAAAATACAAAATCTTAGTCAGGCAGAGGAACCTACATAAACATACATATTTCTTAAAGTAATACCCTCACTTTTCGGTCAATTTATGTGTAATATTATAATTTATTTACTCAAAATAATAAACATTTTAGTTTATAAAAAAAATAATCAATTTTATTGCAATTTAAATTTTGAAATTTACTTTTATCTACACATAATTTAAAAAGACAAATAATAAAATTAAAATAATTATTATGTATATTATAATACTAATCACTTACATATTCATTTAAAATATTGAGTTATTTTTTATTTTAAACACATGTATATATACTTATAATAATTAATAAATCGCGATGTGGTAATTCACGAGTCCATTCGGATTAACCAGTGTTCAGATTAACGTGACCTCACTGTATTTATGTTATGCAATGGTTATAATTGATAGCTTACAATAATATTTTACAAATAAATATTGTATTACATTTTATTATTGGTGTCTAATTATTTATTTTTATTTTTTTTAGTTCAAGAGGGGCTTCGGTTGAATTTGTTTTTAAAAATCCATATTTCACGGCTTATAGATCGGCATCGATTTTTAACACTGATTCTTTAATTAGTAAGTTATACAATACTAGGTGTATTACTGGGAGATATTATGACATTTTTAGTTTTTCTAAAACATAGTTGTAAGTTCGTAATTTATTTTTATAAATTTTTTCTTAAAAAAGTCATAAAAATTAATTTATTTGTAATACATGCATTAATTAAAATTAATACTCCATTACAGAACGGATGAAAAAATTACCTTAACATATTGAAACTCTGACAATAATTTTCTTAATATTCTAAAGTTTTATATATTTATATTAAATATTTATACAGTATCACATCGCATGCTAAACTACGGTCCTCATCCCTTGTATTATTTTAATCATGAGGATGATTTTATGATCATTGTGCACTTGTGTTGTTCACTTGAATATTAGAATCAATTACATATCTATTCAAAAGTATTTTTTTTTTTTACACAATCTATACAGTTAGGTATGATAAGCACAAGTGAGAATAAGTGAATTATAGTGGTTTAGGGATTTTGTTGGAGAAGCCACCCACTGGCGATACTCCAATATTTATTTATTAAGGCTTAGCCAAGAAGAAGATTACGACACCATTTCTTTTTCAGACTTTTGGAAGGATTTCCAGACATTAGATCAATTACATTTTTGGTTAGTTAGTTTGGATGGTTAGAAAATGAGCTGTGGTATTTGTTTTCAAAAAACAAAAGCAAATTAGAATCTATAATTTTTTATTTAATTTCATATTTAATATTTTTTTTATTGTTCATAAGTAAAAAGTTATCTTTTCAATGTACCTACTTATTTCTTTTTAAACTTTTAGTTGATAGTTTATTTATTTACAGTGTTAAGAAATATTTATGATAAATTGTAATACTTAAAATGTTATAGAATTATTGAATTTTATATATTATATTATGTTCACAATATGAAATTCCCCCCTCCCTAATAATTACTCTGGATCCGCGCCTGTTCCTTGCACTGTTTATAGTTTTAGGAATATACGGAGGGCGTAGTACAAAACGTAGAAAAATGCTATTGTGATTAGACGTAAAATTGTATTTTGAAAATTTGAATTTTTTTATTTAATATTTGTTTTTTTTTGATTCTCGAATTTGGACACCATATGTCTAAACTACTTTTTTAGGGATTTGTATAGGTTTAATTTATTGTGGAGTAAGAGTTTTAATCTTCAGTTTAAAAATAGTTGAAGGTACGGATTAGGAACTTAACCTTATGTTTAGCGGAATGAATTTAATAGCTCTAAGTCACTTTTTATCAAAGTGTAACCAAGGTGTTTTATACCTAGTGAGGTAGGAATTGTAATATTGAAGATAAATCGAGGAAAAATGCCTTGTTTTAATTTAAATGTGATATGACTGAATTTACTTTCGTTTATTTTTATTTTCCACTTTTTACACTAAGTTTCAATTTAAGAGGGATGTGTTGAAGTGCGTTTGATACGATAGTTGGGTGTTCATTAACAGAGATAACTTCTTTATTATCAACGTATTCTGTAACGAAGATGTTAAACAAAGAAGTCAGCTGATATGATATAAATCTATTAAAAAGAAGAAGAGTTGATATTGTGCCTTGGGGAACTCTGGTTTGTACTTTTGAATGAACAGAGAGATGGGAACGATAACAGAACAGCGAAATGACGATCATTGAGAGAAAATTTAAAGAGTAAATAAAAAAAAGGTTTGAAGTAGAATTTTCTTTATTTTATATAATAATAATAAATATTAATTATATTAGTTATATAAAAATAAATCACCCAATAGTGATAACAAGTCGATGTACTGTATCATAAGATTAAACTTATTTTTTTGACGTTTTTTTTCCTTTTCATTTTTTACCGCATTTATTTCATTCTTGGTATTAACTATTGAAAGTGCGTTGTGTTTTCGTCCAGTTCCTTAAGGATTTCCATTTTTGGCCATCTTTTTTTGCTGTGGCTACGGTTAATGAGTACACAATTGTTGTCTCCGTTATCACTTCGGTGATTTCACATTATCAATAATACACTTATTTACCGCCTTACTTGGGCTCTTGGAGACTTAATACTGGTTACTGAACTACTTTAACTTCTGTTTTCTAGCTATATATACAACTTATTTTGCATTACTGTTAAGCTAGTAGTATTCTACTGCGCCATGCCTAATACAAATAAACCAGCCACTTGTAGCACTAAATTACTGGCTGTCGGTTCTCCAAAAGTTGCCTCTTCATCTGGTAGCAGCTCTTCTTACAATGAGGACATCATGACCGCATTATTAGCTCTTTGAAATGAATTTTCTGATTCTTTCAAAAAAACAGTCACAATTTAAAGAACTCAAGAATGACATAGTAAAACTGCCCTCTCTACTCGCTGAACTCAAAGCTAAAAATAACATTCTTAAGGACGAAATTGATTTTCGTAAAGATAAAGTTATGAGGCTTGAATCCTTGGATTCGCCTGCCTCTTATTCCTTTGTTGTAACTCAAGTATTCCAGGAATACTTTGTTTTTTTTTTTATTAACTGAAACTTGGTTGACCGATTCTTCCGCTGATTGTGAACTTGTTTTAACCAATTATAATATTTATAGATATGATAGATGTTCTAACATTAGTAATTGTCTAAGGGGTGGCGGAGTACTCAGTGGTATACGAAAAGATTTATTTTCCAAATTAATTGTTGTTCGTGAAATTAACGTTACACACTTATTAGTATTGTTCTCAGTTAGGCCATCTAAGTTCATAATTAATGCTGCCTATTTCCCTCCTCTGAGTCCACCTATTTTATACGAAAATTTTATGTACATCTTTTAAACTGTTTATCAAGATCTTCTTGAACACACATTCTTACTCTGTGGATATTACAACTTACCTGATATTTCTTGGTCTAATGATTCACATAGCCTTACCTCATCTTCTCCTATTCGAGTATTTTGTGTTTAGAATCTCTTACCTTCAATGGGTTCTATCAAAAGAATTCTATTTTAAACTTTAAGGGTTGCATTCTTGATCTTATTTGTTGTTCTGTTCTTGTTTATGAATCTCTTGAACTACTTGTTCCACCTGATTCTTATCGCCCTCCTCTTAATATTTCATTTCCTAATATCTGTACCCCTACAGTGTTTAATAACTCACATTCTTTTCATAACTTCAAAAAGGGTAATTACAATTGTATCATATCATTTTTGTCTTCCTACGATTGGGTCTCTACTCTATCTAACCTTGACTTAAATACCACGATTAATACCTTCACTGATGCATTTCATAAATTAATCCTGATGTTCATCCCTCTGACCCACTTATATCAATCCAGTTTTCCTCACTGGGGATCCAAAAATCTCAAAACTTTAATTTTCCGTAAAAATAAAGCTCATTCAAAACTTAAATCCACATTCGACCCTGTCGATTATATAGCCCTTTTCCTGCTTCACGCAAAATATAAATACATATCCAAAAAATGTCATAAAACCTTTGCTGAGCAGTCTGAAAAATTCCTTATTCTTGAATCCCAAAAAATGTTGGGACTTTGTACGCAGGAATCGTGTTCATAACGCTGTTCCAAACATAGTTTCTTTAAATGGTGTCAACAGTTCTTGTAAGGAGAAAACTGCAAATTTGTTTGCTAAACATTTTTGTTCAGTTTACTCTACTAAATTAATTAATTCTGATTTCCAGCCTTTAAATATACCATTTTTCGACTTACCTAACAATTGTTACTTCACCCCTAATGATGGCCTCCTCAAGCTTAATAGTCTAAAATATGTTTTTTCCAAAGGACCCGATGGAATACCCCTTTGGTCGTTATTTCGGAGATCTCTTGAGTACTTTTCCGGATATGTGGAAAATCGGATCTATTACATCCATTTTAAAATCAGGTAGCCCCTCGTTAGTCAACAATTACAGACCTATTTCAATTCTTGGAAATATTTCTAAAATTTTTGAGTTCTTAGTTTTTGATTCAATTCAGCCTTATTCGATAAACTTAATTTTAGCCAACGAACAACATGGTTTTCGCTCAGGCAGATCTACGGTTATTTGTAACCTCTACTTTTCCAATTACACACTTGGTTCTTTTAAAGTAGGATCACAAGTTTATGTCATCTATACCGACTTTGCTAAGGCGTTTGATTCAGTAAATCATGAGATTCTTATTTCTATACTTCGTGCTATAGGATTTGGTGATCCTATCCTATCTTGGTTCAGTTCATTTTTATTTAATATATCGCAATGGGTCAATATGTTCAATACAAAATCTTATACATTTCTATCTACCTCTGGTGTCCCTCAAGGTGGAAATCTATCCCAACTTCTTTTCTCTCTATTTATTAATAATGCTCGCTCTTCCCTCAAGCATAGCCAATTTCTCTGTTTTGCGAATGATATGAAGATTTTCCTAAAAATTTGCTCTATCGATGATTGCTTCAGGACGATCTTAATAGCTTCTCTGCATGGGCTGATACTCTCGGTCATACATTAAATATTAATAAAAGCCGGTCAATGATATTGACGAGAAGTTGCTCTCCTATTACATTTTCTTACACTTTGAATTAATTCCTATTGATTCTAGTATTTGTGATCTTGGCTTTACTTTTACTATCTCTATCTGTCCTTGTGCTCACATTGATAAAATTACTTGCACAGCTTTAAAGGTATTAGGTTTTGTTAAAAGAATATCTAGTGATTTTAAATTCACCATCTACTGTGCACTTGTATGACCAATCCTTGAATATGGCTCAGTTGTTTGGGATCTTCAAACAGCGGATGCCTGTTTACAACTCGAACGGATTCAATGTAAATTCCTATATTTTATGAAACATACTATGAATGTAGACTGTGCTCCTCATGATTATTCTCCCCTTCTTTGTCTTCTTAACTTATCCTTCTTAGCGGACCGTCACCGTTCTTATAATCTTATTTTTCTTAATAAGCTCTTATCAGGATCTTTCGAATCGCCTTCCCTTCTTGCTAAAATTAACTTTAATGTTCCTGTTAGGTGCACCCACAACTCACACACTTTTTATATTCCACATTGCCCTACTAATTATTTAAAAAACGAGCCAATTAAGATGAAATTAGCTAATGAGGATTCATCATTTCTTCAATAGAATTATGTTACTATATTACCTGTTTCTATCTTTTGTTTGTTTTTGTTATTTATTAAACTTGTTTCTATTTTCTACACTTAAAATAGGTATATATCTTGTATTATTTTGTCAATACACCATAATTGTAACCTGGGCTCATGCCCGTTTATCTTTAATGAATAAATAGATAAATAAAGGAGACTGTTGTGTCACATTCTTATAACAATCAATCTTAATGCACTAATTGTACAACACACAAACAGACAATATTATTTTATATTGTTTGCCATAATGTTGAGATTTCACGTGCACACGACCTACCACAAGTCCAATATGGATTTAAATATTAAACTGATATTAATATCTGGGTTTTCGTTATTTTGTTACAGGTTTCGTTGGATCAGTATTTAGTTTGTTCTTAGGATTGAATTTAATTAGCATTTTTGAAATATTGTACGTCATAATTAAAATTGTTAGCAGCTTCGTCATGCATATGTTCGATATCTAATCATATTCTGTTTCGGATGAACGCGTACACACGTAACGTACCTATCTATAGCAGAATATGAGTTTATAATATTTATATCTAGTGTATTAATTATATTATTCTATACGTTTAAATCAAATTATACTCGATGAGATTGCTTTGAATTCACAACATCGCAAGAAAATTAACGGGCTAATTATTGAATATCGTAGGTTGATAGTAAAATTTATTTTCTTAGCCAATCTATTAACAACTGCATAATTCAAATATACTCGTAAGTATATTGCTAATGATTTTTATCGTTCCTTTATTATTGTGTAACAATATATTTACGCATTGTAATCAATTGAAAAACAATTTTAAAATAAAAAAAAATATCTCAGTTATGCAATCAATTAAATATGTCAATCTCAATACGAATGCGTGAACTTCCCGTTGTAATGTCGAAGAAGATTTTTGTTGTATAATTTATCGTGTGATGAAAATAATTAAAAAGTATCGTTATAAAACTAGTATATTATCAGCATTATCACGTTCGTCGCCATCGGTCCTCGTATGTAATGACTATGGATAAACTAGGCCTATTATTAAGTACAACTGTCTAGGTACTTACGTTTAGTAAATAATATTAATAACTAATGTTTTAAATTAAGACGTAAATAATTTAATATTAATTAATATATATAAAACTTCATGAAACAAATTTAAGCAAATAGATAATATTATAATAAATAATTTATAAATAAATAATAATCTAAAATATTATAATAAATAGATTATGTAATAATAAATTATTTATAAATAAATATTAATCTAAGAAACTATAATAAATAGATAAACAAAATAATGAACGAAAAAGACATCTTATTTATAATTTTTAATTATTTTTTTATAATTTAATAGTGGTCTTGCATTCACGTGATGCCCACCTACACTCAAAAATGTATTTAGCACAACAATTCTTGATTTTGGTATAAAAATCGATAAAGTCATGAAAAAGGGATTTCATTACATACATAAAGGAATTTTTATTCGTATATATGATAATTGTTTACGATTTTATATTGTACAATTGTAACTTGTAACGTTCAATCAAAATGATGGTATCAGTGTGTGAGTTCTATTTTCACAACCGGATGCCAAGAACACATAAAGGTTTCCCGGCACACCACTACTTATCCAACAACTAGATAAGTCACACGCGATGGGCACTACTTTTATTCTGTGGTACTACAGAGTTCAATGATCAATCAAAAGATCACGAAGCTAATCAATAAAATTATAAATACATTTTCAAATAAAATACAACAAAATAAACAGTACCTAAAATCGGTTTTTGTAATGCAATATATGACCACCATGTAAGTATCATTAACAAAATTAATAAACTCTTTTTGTTTTATAAATAACTATTTTTTATACAATCATATTTTTGATTAATGCCAATTCACGTGAATATGATTCAGATACATGCTCACGTGATTAAGCTTTCGTTAATTGCCGTGTATTAACCATACGTGATTTATTTTGATTCATTCACGTGATCACGGTAAACGTAAACACGTACATTCATATTCACGTACAAAAATGAGACCCCTACTTTTAAGTCATATTTCTAGTAAATGGGTTTTTATTATGATAATACTCTTAAATATTCATCATTTAAATAAAAGCAGCAAAGAATATACTTCTGCGGAATATTTTTTTTTTGTCTAAATCCATAATCAAATTTGTTCATATAAAATTAGGATCCACTATTAATAAGTATTATTACTTCTCTAGCAATCGTCAAGAATATTCATTTTAACAATTGGTTAAAAATAATAACAAATATAATAATCAGAAAAATACCGTGTTCCGTAAAAAGTTTATGGAATTTAGAAAAATATAAAAATAAAAATTTCGAAGACTTTTCATATAAGAATATAATATTTATCACAGTATAAACTAATAATAGGAGTCCTACGGTCTCGGAAAAATTTGTCAACCGTCTTAAGACTATTACATTAAAATAACCAGCACACGATGAAAATGAAAATAAAATGTACACGAATCACTATCAGTTGAGTCCATTCACATTTTCCAGGAATATCCATCGCGCGTTTGATTAAAATATTTCAACACGCGCGGTGGAGTTCAAAATTTAAGCGAATCACTGGTGCTGTAATAATTTAATATTTTAGATGCTTTTGACATATGAGCTTGATAAAATTACACATCCTCAGAATAACTCCAGTGTTACTTCTGAAAACATTAAAACTATTTACTAGATTATTCTAGAAGTAGAAATTATTTAATTCATCGCACTATAACAAAAGATAGAAAACGCGACGATTTCTTTTGAAATTGTACAGAAAGTACATATTTATATATTGATTTCCCCCTAAGGGAAGAAAAATAATTTTTTTTGAATACTTCGAGGATCCGCTCCCATCCGTCAATAATTTAAAGAATAGAGAAAAAAAAATCATAATTTTAAAATTTAAAACGTAATATTTCGAATACATTCCCACAATTGTTCTAAATTTTCTTAATGTAAAGTCGAATCTATAACATTATCAATATATTTCAATGATAAGCTTACAATACCATCTAAATGGATAGTTTTCACACACGTACAATGTTTAAAACTATCGATCTAGGATTGTTTCTCACATAATGTGTGTATTCATCGATTATCTCCAATGATCTTAAAATATATATGTATTCAATATCATCTAATTGGACATGTTAAATTTAAATCACTTTATTATTTATTTATCAGTTTTTCACTGCAAATAATGAGAATATTTCAAGATATCTATGAATTAGAGTCTCTCTCTCTTTTTTCAGGAATATTATAGTCGTCCATAAAATTTATAAATAAAACATTCTGTTTTTTTTTTATCTCCTTTATATAGAAATGACATTGAATATTTACAAAAATAAATATCTCTGTGTGTCTTTTTGATTCCTCGTAAATTATATGAACTTTTCTCAGATTTATTGTAATTTTTTTATTTTTTTCACCAATAAAACTCAACAAATATTTCGGTTTTAAGGATCATTCATTATTTAATGACGTCAACTTTATCCATTTGAGCTTAGTGACAGGTTATTTAGACTACTGTGTCAATTGATCAATATTTGTTATTGAAAATACGAAAACAAAAATTCAATAGACGTAACTTTTTAATTGTATTTCTAATACAATAGTATATAACATTATGCACTATGCATACGTGATGTCCGTTGAACCAACTACAAAAATGAATTCAGTAGAGATACAACGGGTATACAAAATCGATCGAAATTATGAATATTTTTATTCAAAGAGCGAATTATTCGTGATGTCAAAACACAGCGCCCTGAAATACACAATAATATTGATACACATACCGTATTTTTATATTATAATATTCATTGTTCGTGGAGTTTTTTCTTTTTTTTTCACTCCAAGTACTGTATTGTTCTATGTCCGTGAATACAAAAATAAACAAGCAGCTTTATCCATACATATATATTAAACACTTGACATTGTATTTTTGAAGGTTTAACTTGAGAACATTGGCACAATATTGATTAAACTTTTTGATCAAAATTACTTTATTATAAAAAATACAAAGTTTGAACATAATTAAGGCACGGATTTTAATGTACTGAGAATCCTATGCAAATTTCCTATACCTATTTAAAAACTTACAAATTATAAGAATGAATTAGAATGATATAGATAAGTAGATTGTAGTTGTGTTGTTAAAACAAATGTTAAGTTGAGAATCTATAATATCTATGATAGCATCGCCTATGATATTAAAAAAAAAAGATACAATAATCAACAGTATTCAAATCCTAATTATAAAATGAAATCATATTTATTATTATTCGATGTAACGCATAAAACATCATAGTTTTCGCATAATCTACAAACAGTTCCAAACGACATTATTTGTAAATTATTTAGTTATATTTGACAGCGTGAAGCTTTATTCATTTTTGAACGAAAAAATATTCATGAATAATATTGTCTGTGATAAGACTTTTACATAAAAAATTTGCTCCAAAACTCTTAGTAATATAATAGTATTTATAATCAATGGTATTGCATTTGGTCATTGAAAACGAGTTAATAGTTGGGTATTTTATTTGATTATAAATATTTAATAATATGATAAATCTGTTTTTTATATTTATCAATTTACTTCAGTTAAAATGTCTACAACCAAATCCATAATAAAACATCGATTGGATCTTCGCATGGGGCCTATAACGGTTTGGGGGCCGATGTGCAATGCACACCTTGCACACACGGTAGTTGCGGCACTGCCTCACAGTACATAATTTGATTGAGAATTGAATCCAAACAGTTTATTAATCAGTTGTATTAATTTTCCAGACACAAAAAAAATCAGATTTTTTATAAAAATTTATATTTGGTAATAATTTCAATAATATCAATAAAATGAATTTATGTCCATCAATCGTTTAAAATTTGTCGTTTGGTTAATTGTTCGTTTGATAAATTGATCGAAGTATATTTTCGTCATAAAACGAGAACACTAGTTTAAGAACTTTATGTATGCTCAAATCACGGTTTAAAACATAAAGCGGCCCGTGAACAAATTTTATCCGGTCCTCAGATAAAAAATAAAAACACATATTACAACAACATTCTATGTTTATAATATTTGTAATATTAATTATGTTCTTAATGTTTAAAAACAATAGCAAATAATAAATAAAATTAATAATGTTCTCATTACATACAATTTTAAAATAATACCTATTGTCCTATTATATGTTGAAAATTTTGTACTTAGATTTTTAATGGCTCATGAAAAATGTTCAGATTCCTAATGTGGCTCTTCTAAGGTAACCACTAGTTTTAGATATATGTTTAAAGTATATTTTAAATTGTGGTTCAAATGGACAATAATTATTATACAGTTTGCGGTAATAAGTTAAAAACAGCGTGCACAAATATAAAACCAGCATATTTACGATCATCTTATATTACGATAGTAAATATTATTGGATATTATTTATCTGTAATAAAAACAATATGTTTCCTCTATAGTATATAATACTATATGCATGAATTTCAGTTGACTGTGATACACAGTATAGTGCACTAGTGCTACACTAGTATACATTACATACTACATATTATTTTGAAAACGACTAATTTTCCAAACGATCAATTTACGAAACAACAAATTTATCAAGCGACCAATTTTAGATGACCAATTTCATATGAACAATTTACTGTATC